GGCGATGCTCTGACAGACGGGGCCGCGTACATTAAAACTGGTTAAGGGACACGCGGGTCCTGGCCCCCCCCCGCCGAGAAGGAAGCAAGTGGTGCTGCTGCGGGTTTCTGCTAGGCTCCCTTAGCGCCCTGAAGTGACACGGCTGGGGGGGGTTGGGGAATCGTTATGAGGAACTGCTGAGAATTTTGGTTAATTAGTGTTCGGGCTTAATGACTTTTACTTAAGCTTCTCGTAGTTAAATGCCTTTTTGCTGAGAAGGCTTCATTAGGACAAACTAGCAAGTCTTGCTCCCTTGGGATGGTGAAGCTCGCGACTGTGGTGTGGAAAGAATTTATTTGGAAGAGAGAAAAAATGGTGAGGGCTCCTCTTCCACTTCTGCAGCCAGAGCCCAGAAAGTGGAAGGCTTAAGAAATGAGGTTTTCTGACACCGTTGCCCAAAGTGGCTTCAGATTGCAGAACTTGATGCGTTTTAGTTGTACATAGCAATGAGTCTGTCTCATTACAGTGATTAGCTGCAACTTTTGCGTAAAAGACTTGCTCTTAGGGCTAGTTGAACTATTGCATCCTCGAGTATGGATTGGATGTCTCAAGTGTTGCAGTTGTACTGGTTCAGTATTTCTTCCTAATTTCTTCTTGCAATGTATTGCCTCGCTTTTCTGGGCGTGCTCTTTGAGGTCTCCAACAGTGTGCAGTTTCATCCAGTTCTTGGAATTCTTCTTGCTTGTCTCATCCGTAGCATGTACTGTTAATGTCTTGTCCCTGATTGGTAGTCACTTCTTTGAAACTATACTTCTGCAGTAATTGTACCACTCGCTGCTTCTTGAGGTGCTTGTAAGCACTTGGACAGCCATCCAACTGAAGCCTGCTTGATAACTGGAGCTACCCAAGGTCTCAACCAGTGAAAGCTCGTTCCTTTGGAGGATGGTTTATTGCATGGTGTGGCAGAGGTTTGTCAAATTTCTAATGAGGCTCAGTGCTAACTACTGGAGGGTGTAGAGTGAGGATTTGAGGCAAGTATCAGCTAAGACTTTGGAATTACTTGCTACATCTGAAGTGCAAGATTTCTTCCCAATGGACAAGGCATTCGTGGAGTCATCCTGCGTTAAAGATCCTTGCTGAAGGAGTTGGATAAATTCCTTGGGGGTAAAAAGAATTCTGGAGTCTGAAGTTAACAGAGGAGGCCAACGATGACAAACTACCAAGGATGACAAACTGGCCCTGCAAGGTATAGTTGTCTTGGTTTTGTTGTGCTGTGCTTTTTTTCTTACTGTGGGTAGAGGGGTGGCAGGAGCGAGGTGAAGTTACTTCTGAAGGCTTCACACTCAAACTTGCAACTGTCTGGCAGGTGTTAACTCTTTTTAACCTCAGTTCTTCATGAAATCACCACCTGTTTCTTATCTTCTCTCAGGCTGTTGCCCCCTGTGCTCCAGAAGCGTAGTCTTCTGCTGCTTACTGTTGCTGTCCCTGTAAAGGCAGAAATGAAGAATCTGTCCATATTGTCACCTGCTTTACTGCACAGCTGAATACTTGAGTTACAGGAAAACTAAATGGCAGATGAAAATATTAAATTGTTATCTTAGTGGCTTCTTCATTTCAATGGAGAAACCAAACTGAGTATTTTACAAACTTACATGGGTACAAGTAGTGTTGGCTACTGATAAAGGCCCCGTAAAGTAATGAACCTGTCATAGGTGGCAGGTAAAACCATGAACATTGCAGCATACTTGCTTTGACAATAATCTGTCGTTGTTCACAAAGCAGGTGTGATACTGCAGCTTTGTGGCCAGTGGGTTGGAGACACTGACCCCTTGCTCTGCTAGCCACAGACCTGAGCTGTACCTGGAGGCCAGCATGTGGGACTAGTAAAGCAGATGATGTGGCAGCATATGCCAGTGAGGTCAAAGGGCAGAACTGTCATGGAGGGAAGCTAGTGCTCTGTGGATTCGTCTGCTGAATTGCCATGCTATCTCAGTAGGAGTCAGATTATCTGAAGCTCATGTACATCCTGTCATTACTAGAGGAGAACCTTTCCTTCGTTTCCCCATTAGCTGACCAGATGCTGATAGTCATTCTCAGGTAGTGACAGCAAGCTGCTTTCTGAACTCCGCCTTGAAACCAGGTAGAGGCACAAACAGGATTGTGATGTTTTCCTGCATAGCTGGTAATGAGACTTAATAGTTTGGGAAAACCTATGTTGAATTAATATCTCCGATGAGGAGAGTGGCATTTAATTTAACATTCTTCAAGTATATATAGGAGGATGGAGTGTTCACAGCTATTGGGGAATATGTGGACTGAATCATTAAAATGCCACTGCCCTTTTGTAACTGTGAGTTGGCTTGTAATGTAGAGCTCAAACTACAGCCTCAGCATCGCTTTCTTAAAAAATAGGTATTGTTGAATCATTGCAAATAGCTTTTTTCCCCCCCAATGAGTTATTTTGATTTTTTTTTTTCACCAAGCAACAAAACCAAGAATATCAACAAATTCTTAAGAGAGCATGCCTTGTATTTCATTAGACATGAAGCTTAACAATAGAGCTGTATTTGCATTGAACAGCTGCATTTGCAAAAAGCAGCTTTTGTACCATTTAGATCATAATGTAATCCCTTTTCTTCCGATTCTCCTTCAGATGCTGTCAAGATAGACTCCAGTGCACTCACTTAGGAAGAAAATGATGTGTACTGAGATGCTTCTCTGCCTGGTCACTGTTATTCTGAAGCAGCAAAAGAGGAGTGTTGCAGAGATCCTTGGTTGCTGACAAAAGACAGTAATCGTGATGAGGTACAAGAAAAGGAAGTAAGAATAACAGCTGGTGTCTGAAATTGTAGTTGCAGAGATGGACAGAAGGTGAGATGCTGGGGCTGAAGACAGAGGATTCAAGACACATGAAACACCAGAGCTCTTGGGTGGCTGGAGATGGAGATACGTGGCTTTTAATACACCTTGGAAAACGGACTCAGAAGGGACACCTGCAAAGTGATGCCTCTTCCAACATTGGTGTTCCTTCGCTAGTGCATTTATACACTTTATTCTGGTCGTAACCCTTTGGATAGTTTTTCCTAAAAATCTTCCCTTGTGGCTTCATCTTGCTTGTATAACTCTTGTTTATGCAGTCAGAATTTCTTTGCATGCCTATGACTTGCTTCTTCCCTGATATGTTTTTTACAGTACAAAGTGTGTCATCCTTACTGATCGATACCTTAAGCAATTCAGTGATTGAGAAAAACAAAAGAACTTTCTTACTGTACATATATTCCACTATTTGCATACCTCAAGTTGTTTTGAATCAGTTGAGCAATTAATGGGGTGCTGTCGGAATTCATTGTGGTCAAAATGATTGGACTGATGTGGCTTGACAGCTGAGGGGAGTTTATTTCCTCGGTTAAGGAAACTGTTCCAAACAGCATGCTTCCAGGTACTCCAGCTATTGTATAGTCAGTCTTCTGTACCTTTCATGGACCAAAAGAGATGAAAAGGCTGCTTCAGTGACTACAGAGTGTTCAGGAAGCTGTGGCTGACAAATTTCTACCTGACTTTTAATAACCTAGTTCTTCAAATTGATGACAGTCCAGTTGCCACTTGCTACTCAGAATGGCACTTTGTATTCTCGGCACTGCTTCACTGCACGTGTAGAACATCCTTATTTTCTGATCACTTTGGGTTCTCTGTTCTTCTCGTGGCTATGGAGAATAAAGTTATGATCCTACGGTTCAAGTCTTTACTACCTTTTCATGTGCTCACTGGTGCAGTGTAATACTGCTGCCTTGATAGATCAAGAGAAATGTTAGCAAAAATCTGAGTCTTGTGACCTCAGTGAATTGTTGCTGAAGTGTGGATCTGAGACATTTGTATTTGATTTAATTTACTGGATTTTTAATTGATCAAGATAATGAAACATGGGCAGGGTTGCCAAATATCATCAGAGGTGTAGAAGAATAGAAGAGAAAAATCTTTTTATGGAGTGCTTGTGCTATGAGAACGCTCTACCATACAAGCTGTACGTTAAATATTTCATCCTGTAGTGTTTTAATGATGAACAGTTGCTTATCAGTAGTTTCGCAGCCATGGAGGGAAGATTAACAGAAGTTATATTGAGTAAAAATAAATGTTATGACGTTAGTGAAGACTTTCAAAGTTGCTGAAGTGAAGAAAGTTCTTCCCTTCTCCTACTCCCAGAAAAACCTGCTCTGTGGCCAAGTAATTTCTACTAATAATCTATTGAATAAACTGTGTCTGTGAAGGTTTAGAAAATTTTAGGTTCAGAAAAGGTTTAGAAAAATGCTTGTAATCAGTAAAGTTTCACCCTCTCTGATGGTGCTTCAGAAAAGAGCTTGGCCTGTCATCTCATTTCAGCATCTTTCATTTAATTACCAAAATGCTGCGTTAAGTATAATGGGATTTTTCCTTTAGGCACTTTATTAAAAGCACTTCAGCCACCACCAAGGTGACTGACAGCGTGGCAGCACCTGTACTCAGCAGTGAAGCACAGTTGTTCTTTAGCAGGCATTGGCTTTTGATTCATACTGTGACTGCTTGCCAGAATCCCAGTAGATGGATAGTCTTGCCCAGATACGAAAGACATTATCTCTAACAGTAGACATGTCTTTTTTATTTGAGTTAGTTATGTAGCTTTAGAATTATTTCCATGTGTTATGCACTTTTCTGAAGCTGCTGGAGCTTTCACACGTAAGATTTTTCTGGTGTGTTCTGTATTTAGCACCATGAGCCTGATTGCATTGATTGTTAATGATGATTTGGGAGCATTATGCTGGTGTTACTGTGTAACATGTGAAGTTGCTTTAAGAAGTCTTTGGAGAGGTTTTTTTCATTGTAAGTTGAATTTTTTCAGCTTTACAATCAACATAAATTAGGCTTTTCCTCATGGCTGCGTGAGGAAGAGGTAACTGAAAACTGTTGCTAAGGAAGTGTGGTTTAGTATCAATCAGGTTCACTGTGCCAGTCTTCCTTTCTTATCTGTTATCAAACACTTCTTTCTAGTGCAGAATGGGCTGCTGAATGTCGGTCTAGACTTGGTTTTTGGTCATCTTGTGACCAGCTTAGCAGTTGTTGTGTTGGACCAGTCGGAGACCAAGCCTCTGCGTAAGCTGAAGCTGTTCTATCTGCAGTCCTTTAACTGAAATTTGTTTCTGGGTTTGGTCTAGGTCCCTACTGCTTCCCATGAGGCTTGTGGAAGTGTTTGTATTCTAATTTATTATGTTGAGTTTGAAAGGAATGGTTTGAGAAGGCTTCTTTTAAAGTAAGTTGCTAAGGGTTATAAAGTAAGATCAGAGATATTTATCTTTGTATTATTTATTAAGCACAGGTTTTTTGTGTTGGTTTCATTAACTTTTTCTGGCACTTTATATTTATGATTGCCTGTTTTTTAAGATGTTGCCATTCCTGATAGAAATTCCTTGCTTTCCTTGATTTTAAGGGAAGAAAAAAAAAAAAACCAAACCCACAAAAAACCCCCAAGTGGTCATATCGTAGGATTTTCCTGAAATGCTACAAGTTTTCTGAAACAGATAGTGCTTGTCTCTGCTCGTCTTCTTAAACAGAGCATGAAAAGCTGTTCAAGAAATGCTGGCTCTGCTTATCTTCAAATAAAGAGAAACCTGGTCATTTCTATTTTGAAAATTAAAAATTATTGAGAAGATTGGACATTCAGAAAAGTGATCAGATGAGTTAAGTGAAAAGTGCCTCTATGGAGGCAGGGATTTGTAGTTGTAGATTGTATTTGCCCGTTACAATTTGTTGGGGTATTTTGAAGAATTGAAGCTTTTGTGAAAAGATCTTAAACATCTCTCTTAGTAATTTCCCTTATCATAAGATAGACATTTTAGGGTGTGTGTGTAGGAGGGAAGGGATGGGTTTTGTCATTATTTAAGGGAGAGGTTAAATGTTTAGATAAGAATCTTACGTAAACATCACTACATTTCAGAAGTTGTTAGTCTGTTTTTATCAAGTGTATTCCTAACATGATTGTGAAGGATCTGGTGGGATTCAAGCCATATTCCTTCTTTTCAAGGGTGATAAGGCAGGGTGGCCCAGTTTTTTTAATTTAAAATCTGAGCTGACTTTATGAGAAAGATGGAAACCCCCTGGTAACTTGATCTTCTTTTTTGAAACTGGTCACATGACAACGTATGCTAACAGATGTTCTCATTTCTTGTCTTCTCTTACTAAATCTTGCATCTTACCCAGTCTTGCATCATGTCTCAGATAATGGACTTCTTGGGACTTGTTTTGAGTACCCTCAAATAACACTGTTTCATTCTCGGTCTGAGCCTTTAGGTACTACAGTAGTGCAGATACTAAAATTACATGTTTCTATGATAATTGTACACCAACCTATCCTGTAATTTTCCTTGTTAGTCTAGTTGTTTTCTTGCCTTCGCTTGTATGACTTTGAACCCTAAATGATACTAAATCTCACTTAAGTAGCAATGAAGCTTATTTACTACCTACCTAATGTAGATAAACTATGCTGACAAGCCAATGGCACCTCATGACGTTTTCCTCTGCCAAGGGGGATATTCTACTAACATAGAGCTTGATAGTGCCAGAAAACGATAGCCTTTGAAAAGAATGAAGTAATTGCTCCCCAAACATAAATGTTTAGGAAAACTGTTTGGACCTTTATCTCCCGAAGTAGTAGGTTATCGTTGTTGACTCTGTTTCAGCTGACTATGGATAATGTTTCAGGTCATGGCCTGATGTGGCATTTTTGTTCTTATTCCTATAGACTCTGTGTTACAGACCAAAAATAGCTGTGATGAGGCTGCTTAAGTCTACAATCTGTTTTCTAAGCAAAGGAGAAAATAGAGCTGCTCTTTATCGCTCTGGTTTACCATGCTCTGTATTTTTACTGTTGGATTGACTTGGTAATTTAACATTTCTCGAAATACAAAGTGCTAGAGTATACTGTAGGAAGAATGTAATACAAATTTGTTCGGTTCTGCTTTAAATAAAACATTAAAGGCAGCATCTTCCAGGCAGCTCTAATCAGCTCTGATCTTTAAGAGAACACTTCTGCAAGTCTGTAATTTCTGTTTTTAAGATGTTCCAAGCTGGTACAGTGTTTCAGATGTCAGTGTTTGAATTGTAAATAATGCTTGAGACTGTTGAGCATGCTGGGCATGTTACTCGGGTACCTCCACAAATACACTCTGTACCTGTGCACAGTGAAGTTCTTGGGGGGAAAAATGAAAAATAATCAAAATAGTTGGTTAGTCAAATTGAGAGAAGTTCTACTGTTCTATTTTCGCCAGAGTGCTTTTAGTTAAAAAAGCAATCATTTTTGGAGATGCAGACCTGCTGCATAAGGGTATGCAATCTGCAAGAAACTAAATGCATGATCTAGCGTATTTAAATCAGCAGGTAAATGAGCACTAGGACTATGCCCAGACATGAAGTTTTCAAACTAATGAGTGCCTTAGCAGGCAAGTGGATTTCTGTTTGAGGCTGTTGTGTGTTTAAACTTCATAACATTTAATTCTTCTTCTAACTGCAAACAAGAATGAAAACTCAGGTGTGAAACTGAATAATTATAGCAACATTATTTGAACATAGACGTCGGTTTAGTATTTGGATGAGACATATTGTTGGGGTTTGGTTTAGGGGTGGTTAAGCTCTTGTGTTAGTGATTGAGAGAACTGAAGGCATTTTGAGTTGCATGCAGTGTCATGGTAAAATGGTGAAACTGAGGCTGGAAAGATGCATTGCGAAAGTTAGCAGTCAGCTTGCTCTACATACTTGCATAGTATTTGCCATCGGTGTAGGATTGAGATTAAACTGCTTGTCTATTTAAGCTCTGAAGCATTGAGCTTTGCATACCTGAAATTTAAACTGATTAAAACTGTGCTATTTTGTGAACTACAGAAGTGCAAAGGAAAGCTATGCTGAAGGCTTGTTTCAGAAGTTAAATGGCTGTCTAAAAAAATAACGGGAGGAGCAAGGAGGATCGTGCCTCAGTGGATTCACACCAGTGAGAATTTACAGACACTTATGACATACAAGTAAACGTACGGGGACCAAACTTTCAAAACCTCTGAACTATCGCCTAATGCCAGGACAACACTGTGGCCTTTTTTGAAGTGTTTTTTACTCTAGAGGCCGACATCTTTACAAAAAAAATATTATGGAAACAAACTTCTAAACCAATCTTATTTTAGCGAGAGTTAATTGAAAATGGATTAAATAATTTGAAGCCTAAATACTGCTGAAGTAATTGCTGTTTCTTTAGTGCGCACTCTGTGAAAAAAGTTCTGTATTTCGGTATTCTAGGTTGAGTGACAAACAATGAGTTATAAAAGGGAGAAAAACCCATGTCTAAAACTTGTTGTACAAACAGTGGTTTAAGAGCTAGAGGAGAAAGATAAATATATGCAGAGTTTTTAAACAGTTCTCCTAATTGCACTGCTAAGCGCCATTATTAATTAGCTGTTTTCTTGACATTAAATGTCACTTACAGCTATTTGAGTAACGTTTGACATTTGAGATTTGTATTTCTATCAGGTGTAGATGAGATTCACTCATGTTTGTCTGGTGTGCCTTAACAGAGCTATGTTTTGGGTTGGATTTTTCTCATCTGCTTGGGTCATTCTTTTGTCATCTTTTTTTTGCAAGTAAAGCATGTGGTTTGGGGAAGAACAAAACTCAAAGCTTGAATTCTTCTATTTCCTATAGGTTCAGGTGCAAGTCCATCCTAAACTTTCCTCTACTGAAGATGCGTTACAGTATGTGGAGGAGTTAATTCTCCAATTGTTAAATATGTTGTGTCAAGCCCAACCAAGAAGCTTTCTGGATGTAGAGGTATAGAGAATAATTATTACAGATTTGTAATAATTAGAACTGTTACATTAAAAGTTAATATGTTAATCACTTCACAATGTAAAAAGGAAAGCAGTAATTATGTATTTTTATGTTGCAGAACCTTCCACATAAAGCCTGCTGAGTTACCTAATAGCTGATTTTCCTATCAATTGAATCTGTTGTTCAATGCACAGTAAAACTATCTCTGAACTCTATTACTGTATAATAGATGATGAGTGTAACTTGTGTACGTAAAGCTGACTGGTTCCTTTCAAAAGACCTTTTCCCCCCTGATATTGCATGCAAACTATAGCTGCCTAGTCTGAGGCTCCGTGCTGCTTTCTCAGCATGGTGATTTAGGCTGATATACTATATTCCCCCCATCCCAGAAATTTGAACAAAAATAATTCAGTCACTTTTCTGAGAATAAGTTGAGGAACACTTCTTTCCTCTATATAGAAACCTCTTCTCTTATAGTTGCCTTTTTAAAGATCTATAACCTCTGTTGCTCAGAAAAGCAGCTTGATGTTTGAGAAGAGGGCTTGATCTGAGAAGAGTTTCTCCATCTGAGAAAGAAATTAGTTAAGCTAAATGAGTTAAGATTCTAAGCCCATTAATATCTTGGTAGCTCTTTGTGCTTAACCATGATTGGAAGACTTCAGTGCGAAGCTACAAACTCCATGTGCAGTGTGCCTGTTGGTTTCCAGTACTCAGGGGCTGTGCCTGTGCTGGCTTAGGTAACAAAATAAGTGCAATTTCCTCATGTTCTGACGAAAGTGGATTGGTGCTCCCTCCTCTCTCTTCTCTCCCTCCCCACCAAAAAGAAACTTTAAAAAAAAAAAAAGTAGCTGCATCTGAGTGCAAGATTCATTAATTTCATCCTTCCTCTTCTCTTTTGAACACTGACACCTCTAATGGTGTTCCATTGTCCCCTTTAATGGCTGGCCTGTTTTGCAACATCATTCTGGTCTGGCAGCTCAAGAGACAAGAGGTTTGTGAAAGATTGTTTAATGCTGTGCATTAAACAACGCTAACAAAAAACTTGACACACAGCATAGCATTATGATTCTTAGGGCTGTTGAAGTCAAGATGAGAAATGCAAGAATTAGAGATGATCAGGCAACCTCAATTTACCCCCTTTGTGTTAATGTAGAATGATGCTGTCTTTAATTATATGGTCATACACATTTATTTTTCCCCCAGGACACCTCCACTGTTCAGTCAGCGGGCTGGACTACGTTAGGAGCATGAATTGGTGTTAGATAGTGAATGAGACTTTTTTCCTTTTTTTTTTTTTTTTTTTTTCCTTCAGTAGGACCTCTGCTTTCCTTTTGCAAATGTTATGGGAGAAAACAAGTTTCCCCAAAGGCTACTCAGTATGTTTGTAATGCAGCAGGTGGCTCAGAGACAGTGTTTGCCTGCTGGAACTCTGCACTCCCTCCACAACATAGGGTTACCCATGCCCTTCTCAAAAACATGTGCTTTTGTATAGCATGCTCAAATCCACAGCTATTAAAGCTATATTCTCATGTCAAACAAACAAACAAAAAAGTAACTAAGGATGGAATCTGGCCTTCAAACAACAGAATAATCACCAAAGCAAATCCCCACTCTGTGAAATGGATGTTATGTGCAAACATGGATTTAAAAAAAAAAGAAGAGTAATACGAATTTTGTTTTAAATAGTAATGGAACTTTTTTCCTTTTTTTTTTTTTTTTTTTTTTCCTTCAGTAGGACCTCTGCTTTCCTTTTGCAGAAATGTTATGATGGGGGAGAAAAAGAAAAGCCTGTACTTTGGGAAGTTGGGTGCCATCCTTATAGAATTGTATTCTGTCCCATTTTGTTGTCAGAAAGCTTTTGTTTGTGTACTTTGTCCTGCACCAGCTTTGTAAGTGGTCATTAACTTCGTCTTCCTCAATTTCATGGTTGCTCAAACGGCAGTCACATTTACGTAAGTGAGCGCTTGCAGCCAAAACAGTCAGTGGGAACTATGGTCTGAAAAAAAAAAAGTGAAGTTATCTGAGAAATTAGATTTCTGGCATCTCTGAACACCAGGGCTACCAAAAATGGTGAAGCTTTTGAACCTCCAGAGACCTATGTGTGAGCTCCAGCGGGAGAGTTGTTCAATGCATTGGGAGGATGTAGGTGTCCTCAGGCACCCTGACTGCTGGGAAGAGTAAATAAAGTGGGGCATATATGGTCCAACTGTAGACTATGACACTGTTTTAAAATATGTGGGTGCTGCTGCACATTCTCTTTTCCTATTATGTTCATTGCCATCATCAGGGCAGTTTGCATGTATACAATCTGGACCACATGCTGATCAATAAAGGTGTAATAGAAAACATTTAATCTCATTCAGTGACCATTCTGTACAGGGAATAAAGTGCTAGGATAAAATGTAGTCATGTATTTAAATGCTGAATTACCAGTCATGTGCACATGGGGAGTAAATTGTGCCTGCAGTGGCAACTTTATTCTGTTATTTCTCAAATTTTGAGCACTAGATTATTCTGTGTTAGTGGTATTCTGATAAAGCCATATGAATGTAGTGAGCAGCATGTACCAAAATGATAACATTTACATGTGTTCTACAAGCTTTTATAATTGAAATACTAACATTAGCAAACATTTCTTTGTTAAGTAATGGAAAGTAATTTGATAATGTAGTAATATTGCTAAGCTCATTCAGATTGTGCATTTACCCTTTAGTCCTGGTTTTTTTTTTTTGTTTTTTTTTTTTAAGGATCGTGTTCAAAAAAGTTTTCCCCATCCTATTGATAAGTGGGCAATAGCTGATGCCCAGTCTGCTATTGAGAAGAGGAAACGAAGAAATCCGTTATCTCTCCCAGTAGAAAAAATCCATCCCTTATTAAAGGTAAGCAGTGAAGTAATCTTGCTTCTAGAATGCAATTAGAAGTTGACATCTTTGTTTAATTTAATGTATGTATGCTGCCTCAAATGTAAACAAAAAGGAATAAGAATATCTGTGTTTGCTACGTAGTTTTATTGTAAGTGTTCCAGTTTAGTTAATTGCATATATTTCTTTTTAACTTAAAAATTAGTTAATTCTCTTTGGACAAACGAAGGCAAGAATTCATTTGACGTGAATTTGATTGTTCTTGTTTCATTTTGCATGACTAAGAAAACACTCAAGAAACTTCTAGAAATAGCCCTAAATGTTTAAGTGAGGTTTTTGGGACAGTCTGTTGTCACTTTCACAGTTAATAGAGCTGCATCTACAATGACACTTTCTTCTCTAGGCCTACAGACTACTGTGTTTCTATTACTAAAATAGACTGGATATGCAGTGAATGTTTGCTGAGTAGGGTCTTAAAGTTACTGGGTTTAGTTGTAACCTATGGTGTGTATTTCCTCAACTGACTAACGGAATGCTTATTTCTTTTCCTTTCAGGAGGTTCTAGGCTACAAAATTGACCACCAAGTGTCTGTTTACATAGTGGCAGTATTAGAATACATTTCTGCAGACATCTTAAAATTGGTTGGGAATTATGTGCGGAATATAAGACATTATGAGATTACAAAACAAGATATTAAAGTGGCAATGTGTGCCGATAAGGTAAGCCTAACTCTTGTTTCTCATGTTAAACAGGAAGTTTTAGTGAAGTTTTGAGAGGACAATGTCTATTCCTTAATGAGTGCATAGTGTTCTACCTTTGAAAGAAGAAATTACTGCCATAAAATATGGTTCCAGTAATAGAGCAAAGCGACCAAAAAGCTAATTTTGCTTACAGAGTGGTTGCTTGTGCTTATTAAGAGTTAAGTCTCTCTTCCTTTTGATATTACTTGACTAATCTCAGCAATGTGTGAATTCTTTAAAAATTATTGTGGAGCAGCACTAACTTAAAAATTTAACATTCTTAAGCTGTAGTAGTTTAGCCTTATTTTGTAGCTTGAAAAAAGGCTGAAATTAAGCTTGGGTGTTCTCCCAAAATAAGTAAGACTGTATTGCATGTAAAAAGTAGTGTTTTGATGGTCCAGCATTTTAAAACAAAAAAACGCACCTGCATTAGCATCTCAGCCTAATCCTCCTTAGCGGTCCGTATTTTTATCTGCAGTTGGTTTTTCTCGTAGGCTCAGAAGATTCCTTAGGTTCAGACAGGAATCACCTTTCTTTCCAGCAGTCATAAAGCAAGGTCCCCTTGTCTGTCTTTCAAGTGCTTTTGCGCTCTAGCTTCTGTGGCCACCTCATTAGCATTTCCAGTTTTCCATTGTTTAAAAAACAAAGCTTGAAGTTAATCCTTTAAGGGATGCGATTTAAGAATCTCTGATCTTGCTCAGGTCTAGGGATTTTCAGATTTATTGCCTCTTTTCAGTATTTTGTCTTGGTCTATGTTAATCAATATCTTTGGCTGGGATCATCTCTGTGTTTCAATGGATGTCTTTGTC